AAAAAAATTAAAAATAAAATAAAATAAAAAAAAAAATTACCTTGGCGGCACAGGAGCTACAATACTCTTCACAAAAAAAAATTTTCCATACAAGCATTTTAATCCAAACAATCAGTTTGTACGACTGCTATATGCCATATTATTTCATACTCCTCTAAGAAAATCTCTCCTTAGATGAACTCTTAACATATTCCCTTTTAATAATTTTGCCTTAAATTGAAGGTATGCGTTCCCAAATGTTTAAGTCTTGAGCTCCCAAATGCAGGACAGTCAAAAAGAAGTTTCATCTTCTTCCATTCAGCTTCTGCAAATGGCGTCCCAATCTTACAGTATGGACACCGATATTGAAATTGCCTGTTAAAAGCCCCAAAACTAGGGAGAGGCCAGCCTTACTGTGGGCAAAGAGATCACTAGGTTTCCTGTGATCGATCTTGTGCCAAAATTCTTTTGTGACAGCGCATGCATCGTTGGTGATCCATCCCTGGCCAAGATTTCGCGAGGCCCAGCTATCTATTACTAGAACACAAGAGTAGTTGGAATCACCGATCCATTGCTATTGTACCGATCGTGGTTTTAGACCGTATTCTCTAATGACTTCTTCCCACCGACAACTCGGTACTTCTTTATATCCTAAAGTCAAAGGCCAAAGGCTCCTCTACAACAGTATATGTTAATCGATGCTTTTTTGCTCTCTCTTTGATATTCGGCTTCTATGAAGGCTTTCTCTTCAGGATGAGCTCTAAATATTTGAGGCAGGGGTGCCATCGGGAGCTTATATCTTTCAGTTAATGAAACTATCTCGGCTTCACTTTTGATTTGTTTCGCCGTTAAGATGCCTCTTCGTGAACTCATACACGATACTCAGGAACTTTCTTTTGACCATAATTGCTACATCGTCTATACAGGCAATCACTCGACAGCCACGATTCCCAAGTTTTTTTACTTCACCTTGTGGGACTTCCTTACTCAGATTTCGTCAAGCGCTGGCGTTTCGCCATTCCGTTTCAATTGACGTCGTTATCGCCATTGTTGTCGGTATCGGCATCGACATCGTCTCAGTAATCCGCACCGCCATGGTCATCGGAATCATCATCGGCACCGGCATCGTTATCGTTTCATCGTCATCGTTATCGTTGTCGGCATTTTCATCGTGATCGTGATCGCTACCGTTATTGGCATCGTCATCTACATCGTTAACGTTACCGCTTTCGTTATTATCATCTTTATTCTCATTGCCATAGTTATCGGCATTGGCATCGTCATCGTTTTCGATATCATCATCGGCTTCGTTATCGTCATTATCACCGACATCATTATTGTCGTCGTCATCGTCATCGTCATCGTCAAGTCATCGTCATCGTTTCCGATATCGTAATCGTTATTGTTATCGGTATCGTCATCGTCATCGTCATCGTCATCATTTTCGATATCGTCATCGTTATCGGCATCGTCATCATTTTCGATATCGTCATCGTTATTGTTATCGGTATCGGTATCGTCATCGTAAATTCGTAAATTTAATATTTTCTAGTTGACCTTTAATTGCGCTCAGTTTAGTAAAAGCCACCAAAAACACCAAAACATAATTCCATTACATATGAGCTGAAAAATGTCAATTGAACTTTTCACCGTAAACAATTAATATTTAATTCCCCAATCAATTATTTCTGACATTAGTGTCATTTAATAGCATAGAAAAGCAATTTGATATAATTTGTTATTTTTCATCGTTAAACGGATAATCGAAATACAATTAGCTATTTTTTGTTGAAATTTAATTGTACAGATAGGTAATGGAGCATTTAAATGAAATAAATTGATTTATTCGTTTAACGTTTGTATGTGATACTAAAATTATAAGAATCTTTAAAAATTATCTAAAATTATAACGAGCAATATAAATATATTTATATACATACATATATAGGTATATAAAAGATGATAGATGGAGGTAGATGACTTGTGTGAAGAATATATTTTTCGACAAACTCCCATTTCCGTTATATTTCTAATAGCAACTAGTTAAAGTAAAATAGTTTGTCTCATTATTCCCCATTTTATTGGCTTTTTTTTATTTCGATGTTTTACAAAAAAATTTAAGTTTATTTTGTTCATTGTTAGAACCAAACATATTTTATTATTGTGATGTGGAGTTAAAATAGTCTCCCCAAATTGAAAAATGTTGCTACCTCTCTTTAAGAAGCTGCTTTCGCCACCTTTCTCCATGTAAAAATGACGGAGGAATAATTATTTACACAATTTATCCGGAATATACTTTGCTTAATAAACATAAAATGATCCCCTGGTCCTCTATCACACTATAGTCAAGTCCATTATGCTCTATAAATTCTTTATGTGGTGGAGGGCTCTGAAAATACTAATCATGCAAAGAAACGCGAGCCCGTTCAACGGGTGGCGCACTAAAATCCACTCAAACCATGGCACTTAACGTCATTTTACGCATGATGCCCATAGACATAGTTAGAAGGTGTATGGCTGCGAAAGTTGCTAACAGACTCAGTTAGTTTTGGTTTCTAAAAGAACACGTCTCTGAATACTCGGAATTCTCACATACTTTGGCAGCTCCTTCTCTGTAAAGCAGTTGTAAAGCTGATGAGAAATCAAAGAAAGTTACCCTAGAACTGCTATCTAGTGTACTCTATGCCCTCAGTAAGGGTACCCTCTTTTTAATTGTGGGGGTTTCAACCGGACATTGCCAGATGCTATCTGCTGAAGCTGTATGAAATAAGATGAAATGGAAACAAGTCAACACGTCCTTCTTGACTGTCTCGTGTTTGGGAGGTCAAGGCTTAAAAGCTTGTTAGCGCATATCATCAGACATCCCACCAACTGGCGGGAGTGGAAATTAAAAGCCTGAGAAAATCTCTACTGGCCACTAAGCGCTTTGCTAATTCATATGTTCGAACGCAAGAGTTCTTTTTTTCTATGGCTTCAGAGAGGAATACATATATTATAGCAGTCCACGTGCGAGCTCTCTTGATCAGTCTTAATTAATCAGCCTTAACTAATCTAATAAAAACGGTTTAAAAGTTTATAAAAACAAGAGAAATTAAGCCAAATTTTATCAGTTCTCTTCGGTATAGACGGAAACGCAAGCTTGGCGGTTGAAAAGTATAATAATGTGTATGGTACCGAAACTCTAACAGCCAATCATGCAGCATTTTGGTTTCGAAAGTTTTGATTTCAACGATGGACTGCGCTCTGGAAGATCAATTGTCGAAAATACGAATCTTAATTAAGTAATGTAATTATTTGGTTCCGAAGACTCTGTAAGTACTACTACGATTGCCCCAGAACTAAACATTCAACAAAAATTTGTTTGTTATGTATTTGGTGGGATTGGGACTCTTAGCTTGACCCCTGTACTACCAACAATTGGACTTGTACGAGTACTATCAACTAGAAGTGGTCAAATTTGGCCCATTTTAGAGAATCCAACTAGAATGAAATCACGTTTTATCAGGACAAAGTCAGGTCACACATCTCGATACTCACTCGCCAGTTTTGCGAATATATGTACTTAGTTGGAAAGTTCTGACGTAAGGATGTGTTGTTTCCTTTTCATTGGGAGTGGTTTCTACGTGACGGGTCGTAGTATAAAGCTTTATACACATTTAAATAGCGAGCCGCTTATTTTAAGACCGGCGTCCGTTCACAGTCGCACCTCTGGTGAACATCTTACACTAAGGTTACTCACGTGTTCAGGGTGTGGCGAGAATGCAAGAGTACCAAAAACTTTAACTGTTTCCCCAGCAGCATAACTATATACGACTAGACATCTTCAGCCACGAAATCCAACGCAGAATAACTCGTGCCAACAGGTGCTACTTAGCACTGAGTAGGTAATTGAGAAATAAAGTCCTCTTTTGACGAACAAAGACCTAACTCTATAAATCACGCATTACATTAGGTCATGGCATCCTCTTAGTTGTGCAGTGAGCATCAAATTGTCGTGCTTCGAAACTATCTAGAGTCTTTCCGTTGTGGATACAAAAATACAATATAGTTAGAACAACAACAAATTTCCATATTTTTTATGTTTTTGCTAAGCTTTCATTTCTATCCCTTTCCAGTTCTCACAAAAACGCATATTTATTTACTTAGCACTCATCATTTGCAAAAAAGATCTACTTTTAAGCGTTAATTGCTAAACTTTATTTAAATTTATAAATTTTTTTTCCATTAAACCGCAAACTATATTTGCAATAAAATTCCATTACAATAATAGTGGAATAATGGACTTAACGTGCGCTTAGCTCGAACAATAATAGACGCACTTGTATTCGTATGCGTGTGTTGGTGTGTGGCTGTGAAATTGCTTGCTGAATTGTTCATTTCGTTGCATGTGTATGTATGTGTGCGCGTGTTGTTTTTATCAGCATCAAAAAATATTGCATTAAACACCACTCAAATCTAATTAAGTGTCGATTTGTTTCATTTGATTTTTATGCGAATGTGTGTGTGTATTTGTGGCGCTGGCCATTTGGGATTTGCCGAGCAAATAAATAATTGAATAAATTCAGCATAACAACGCGTTGATTTTTAAAGCAAATACACGCACACAAACACACATACGAGAGGTTATGTATAAACAATGGGTGTAATAAAAAATCCGTTATGTAATGCAGTACAACACACGAGCATACGCAAATAGTTGCAATTAAGCAAAAACTTTAAATTAAACAAATGAAGTCGAATATGTGCTGCATCTCCAAAAAAAAAATACAACAAAAATAATAAATACAACAAAAATAAATAAATAAATAAATAGCAATTATTTTTGCAACAACAAATTGCTTACCAATTATACCAATTTACGAAAATTTCTTTACCAAATGTGAGAGAAACCTGGTTTTTTTTGGAGTAATGAAAATAAATGCATTTTTTCTTGTTTTCTTGAGTAAGGACGCGTACAAAATTTCAGATCGATATCTGAAAAATTTCCCGTGTATATGCAGACTCTCCAGTGGTTTGGAGGTCTTCCGCTTCCTCTACTTTCACATCCGGCTACTGAATCGAAAACCTTCAAAGCTGGAGTATTTTCATCCATTCGGACAACATGACCTAACCAACGCAGCCACTGTCTCTTGATTTGCTGAACTAAGTATGTCAATGTCATCGTATATCTCATACAGCTCGTCGTTCCATCGACTGCTGCACTCGGAATTACCAATGCGAAAAGGATCATAAATCTTACGCAAAACTTTTTTCTCGAACACTCGAAAGGCCGACTCATGTTGTCATCGTCCATGCCCACCAATATGTAGCAGGACGGGAAAGATGAGCGACTTGCTGAGTTTGGGCTTTGTTCGTCGGCAGAGGACTTTACTACTTTATTGCGTACTCAATCCAAAGTAGCAAGTGTTGGCAAGAAGGATACTCTTGTTGAATTTCAAGGCTAAAGAGCTGTAATGGATTATAGTTATGCTCTGGGTTTAGCAGTTACAGTTGTCGGACTATACTTCATTTCTATTCTTACGTCCTCACGGCGCTCCCTGGTAAGCCTCTTGTAAGATGATTAAGCCAACGCGTGTTGTATTAGGTTGTCAAAAAAGTCTTGCGGTATTATCGCTAGTTGGCGCTGGGGGCGCGTAGTCCTAGTTTTATTCGTCGCATCGGGTCAAGTTATACCTTTTTGGAAAGGTTTTTCACGCGCTAACCCGTGCTTGATTGATTGTCATTTCTTTTAAGTCGTTCGTGAGTTATAGCGTCGCAAATATGGAGCAAAATAAAGAGAAAATACGGCATATTTTACAGTACTACTACCATAAAGGCAAAAATGCATCTCAAGCCGCCAATAAAATTTGTGCAGTTTATGGACCCGATACGGGTCCATTTCCATTTCCATTCCATTTCCATCACACAATGATGGTTTCAACGTTTTCGCTCTGGTGTAGAGGTGGTCGAAGATGCGCTACGCTCCGGAAGGCCAGTCGTCGAGTCGAAAATTGCGATAAAATCGCTGAATTGGTCGAAAGAGACCGGCATAGTAGCAGCCGTAGCATCGGTCAAGAGCTGGGCATTAGTCATCAAAAAAATTTTATGAACAATTGAAAATTCAATAAAAATACCGCAAGACTTTTTTGACAAACTAATATTACGGGTCATGGCTGAAAGAGGGGAAGCTTCAGCGGAGCCAACCCACACACTCGGTTTAAGGGTTCGCTGAAGTTAATTGCTGCGTCTGTTCACCACCAGAGTTGCGGCTGCAAGCGGGGGTCGGTCTTGCAACCAGCAGCGCGATAGCTAAATGTCTATAAAGCTTTATGTCCACTATCCAACTTACAATTTCATTACCAATTGGAAATGAGGCAGTCTTTTACCAGTAACATCTTTCGTCATACACAGAAAAATCTAGTAGACACTCAGTTCCAGGTCCGAATTATAATATTCTTAAGTGCGAAATTCCCAAATATGCTCGTAGAACTTATAGCGTAGACTGGTATTTTCGACTTTTAATCTTCTTAATCTTCTTTTCAGCTTCGCCTTACTTTTGTCATAATATTTGGTCGATTGATCGTCTGTTTCTAGGTCATAAGCATAGATCTAAGACTGATCGCCAGTAATAATACATTTCAATATATTCTGGTAATCGGAAAACATCATAGACGTTAACGCGACGCTTCGAAAAAATTGAGTGATTTTGAAAACAATTGTGCTCTCACTTTTTCAAAGTGGTTTTCGTATCCTTCCGATATTGTAACGACACCCGTAAGATCTCTGACTGTTAATAGTCGATTCTCAAGCATTAGTGCCTTTATTTTATTGACGTGTTGATCATCCGTTGATGTTGGTGGCCGTTCTGAACGTGGTTCGTCGTTTGTATAATTTGTACTAATCAGAAACACTTGTTCACGAAAAAAAAGTATTCCTGAAGATCGCTTCCACTATTTTCAACGTTTCGGCACCACAAATTTGATTTCGCATACACAATTTAAAAGAATATCTCTTTTGAATAATTCCTCAATCTAAAAAACGTCGAATGCAGTTTATGAATAAGTCAGAAAGCCAAGCATATACTAAACACTAATGATTATTTTGATGTGACATTTGGCACAGATATCACTAACAGTCATACCAGCCTAGAATAAAAATACTACATTTCGACGAACGGGTTCTCGCGCATACGTTAGTCACTCAGAATGAAAGGAACACAGCTTCGACTACTAACCTAATGCTTTCGCTATAATTAGTGGGATATGAATCATAATTAAAGGAGACAATAGCAAAGTATATATACAAGTAGATTAATGACAGGTAGATTAGTATCTCGAATGGTACTTTTGGAAATAGAGGATGAGAAAAATAACACAACAACGCTAATTAACTCAGATTATCAAAATTGTATTATTGTGATAATTAGAAAAGCAAGAAGAGTGCCAAAGCTCTTTTCTATCTTTGTTCTTCTTACTTTTTAATATAATTTTTCTCAAGAGAGAGATTTTGTAACATACTAAT